TTTTGCAGTGTGCTTTGGTTAGGTGTCTTACTGTTGGGTTGACCTTTGGAAAGTAATCTGCTAGAATTCTGAGCACAAATAATTCATAATGTGAATGATACCAAAATTAGATCATCACAAACTATGGGTGGGAAGGGGGCGTTCTTAATCAGTGTTTTGTATGCCAGAGATTTATGGGAGGTGTGTGTAGACTAATCATTTTTTCATTCATCCAGTGAAATGCCAGCTGTTCAAGGTTCAGAGTAATTATGAAAATGAGATCATAAATCTCACACACAAATGGGTCACAGGCAGCAGTCAGCTACCAAACCAGTGGATTGCCTGGCAACAGGCTAGTTTAAAAAAAAAAACCTAAACATTTTCCAGTTTTTAAAACCACATTTTAAGTGGTTTTCATTCATTTCTGCAAACTGCCAAATAGAAGTCTTTGTCTATCTGTTAGCTCTGCGACAGACTGGCAACCTGTCCAGGATGTACCCTGCCTCTCGCCCTAAGACAACTGGAATAGACTCAGCCCTCCTGCGACCCTGAAAAGGATAAGCGGAAGTGGATGGATGGATGATTAGAAAACCATAATCGGTATATTTTGATGATATGATATGTACCCCAGACAGTATCACAGTATTACACCGAGGAATAATTTGGAAGGACCCCCCCTCTCTCCGATAAACAAATCCACGAGAGCTGATTATTTTGGGATATCTAAAGTAATTGCACTCTGCTTTTAGGTTCTTTTCAGGCGGACAGCGCAGATCGGTGGCATCAGCCTTGTTTCTTGCTGACATTTCTCCTCCGGATGTGCATGTGTGGCGCAAGTTGTTTGACAGGTTGTCAATGAGGAAAGGAGATGCGCACAGCAAGATACTGTTCATAGGCAAATGTTCATGGTATGATAGCCATCAAGTTTCATATCATATTAATACTTGAAAACCAGTATACTGTTGCAACCGGAGAACCAGTAGAACTCCCTTGAGCTCGGCGGAGTCAAGACTCTAGACATGCTGTTGATTTACTTACATCAATTATTCAGATCTAACCTGTGAAGGTTTTCATGAGTTGATGGCAGCTGAAGTAAGGTTCTGCGGATTCTCAAACTGAGCTATATGCAGTGAGACACCCTGGTGGTGACCCATCCAGCCAGTCGCACGTTGCTGATTAATTATGGAAATGCAATATGTCACACTAGGTGATGTGCTTTGTT